CCTAAACCCTAATACAGAGGGGGCCTTACTAATTAGAATAGGGTTTCGAGGCATAAATTCATATCATCAACAGAATACCCTAATACCCTAAAACCCTAATACCCTAAAACCCTACAACCCTAAAACCCTAAACCCTAAACTCTTCAATACTATACCCTAAACCCCGCGAGAGCCCCCCCTATTAAACAACAACCCTAAACGCCGAAACCCTACACCCTAAACCCTAAACCAAAAACCCTACACCCTACACCCTAAACCCTAAACCCTAAACCCTAAACCCTAAACAAAACAAACGCTGCCAAGGCACAGATTGAAAGCTCCGCGCAGATGGGAGCCCGAGCCTCCCCCCCGGTTCGTAGGTTCGTTTTGGCTTTCGGGTTTTGGGGTTTTAGGGTTTAAGGTTTCAAGGTTTAGGGTTTAAGGTTTAGGGTTTAGGGTTTAGGGTTTAGGGGCCTCAATAATTAGAATAGGGTTGTTGCGCCAATTACTGTATGCTATACTTATCATAATAGGCAAACCACCAAAACTATTTAGGCCCCTGTACTATGCGGTTTAGGGATTTGGTTTAGGGCTTCGGGGGTTTAGGCTTTAGGGCTGTAGGCTTCATGGGGTTTCAGGGGTCTCGTAGAGTTTGGGGCCCAAGCTTTAGGGTTTAGGGTTTAGGGTTTAGGCTTCAGGGTTTAGGGTTTAGGGTTTAGGGTTTAGGGTTTAGGGTTTAGGGTTTAGGGTTTAGGGTTTAGGGATCTTTTCAGGCACTCCCAACCAGGGACATCTGCTCGAAGGGCTCTGGGCCAGGATCCTCCTACAAGGCTCTTAAGCGTAAGGGGAGGGTTTTGGCATGGCCCGGAGATCCTTATTCAAGAGGGTGCCGATCTCAGTGCTATTTCTGTTCTTCAGGGAATATAAGGCCCTTGAGAATTCGAAGAGGGGTTCCGTGAAGGGTTCTTTCGACGGGTTTCTATAACGGCTTACAGACAGGGATGTGGGGGCCTTCATAAACAGAACACGTGAAGCATATTATCAAAAAAAACGTAATGAGGAATATGGTAACTGTTCAGCCTCTAGATCATTTTGAGCAACTGCTGCTTGGAAGGGCTTCTCTCCAAGCTAGGATCGTTGGTTTGGCGGTGTGGGTGTTGGGTGCAGGAGCCAGGGCTTTTGAGTTTCGAGTTTAGGATTCTGCAGCTGTGGACTCACCGTCTTTGATTCAGGTCGGTGGGCTTAGGGCTCCTGAAATCTCCTGAAGACTTAGGACATGGGTTCACGGGACTACTGTGTAAGGTCTGGAGACGTGCGCAGGTTAGGTTCCTCAACGGAGATGCTAAGTTTAGGGTTTAGGGTTTAGGGTTTAGGGTTAAAGGTACTTATGCCCAAAGTTCTAAACCTAATTTCAAACTGAAAGCCCAAAACCCAAAGCACTAAACCCCAAGCCCTAAACCCAAAACCCGAGCTTACAGACCCTGGCCCCTGGCCCCTGTGCCCCAAAGGCCTAAGCCCTAGACTCTTAGCAATCGACCCCCGACACATGCTTGACGCAGGGCTTAGGGGTGCCAGGTGCTGGGTTGTCCCTTTCAGGTGTAGGGTGTACACTTTATCTAAGGGCTTTAGCAGCTTAATAGGAACCCTTGTAGGTTATTGGGGTTAATATGGAGACTACCTGGCTATATAAGGGGTTTATAAGGACTATACAATGGTTATTTAAGGCAATGGGATTCAGGGTCCCTATTAGGGGTCCCTCCTAAAGTCCTTAGACTTTAGGGTTGAGGGTTCAGAACTTGGGGGCGCCGGGCTTCTGAGAAACGCCGAGCAACAACCGACCTGCAAAAGATGCTCAAGGGAGACAGAGAGGAAGGGTGTAGGAGTTTAGGGCTTACTGTCTCAAGGCCCCAAAGGAGGAAAAAGAACAAGCTTTACTGATCCAACCCTAATAAACCCTAAACCCTAAACCCCAAACCCTAAACCCTAAACCGATTCAGAAGGGAGACACGAACTCTCCCGGCCAAAAAAAAAAAGGGGGCGCAGCTCCCTGAGCCCTACTATACTATACTGTACTATACTATACTGTACTATACTATACTATACTATACTATACTATACTATACTATACTATACTGTCGTATACTATACTACGCCATACTACTATACTACGCCATACTACTCTACTATGCCATACTACTATACTACGCCATACTACTCTACTACGCCATACTACTGAGCCCCCCGACTCCCCCAGGAGCAGCTTCAGCTTATCGTCGGGGACCTCGGAGCTTCGGAGGGCTTCTTGCAGTTTTGGGGTTTAGGGTTAGGGTTTAGGGTTTAGGGTTTAGGGTTTAGGGTTTAGGAATGGGGTTTGGAGGACTTCTTGCAGTTTGGGGTTTAGGGTTTAGGGTTTAGGGTTTAGGGTTTAGGAATGGGGTTTAGGGTTTAGGGTTTAGGGTTTAGAGGACTTCTTGCAGTTTGTGGTTTAGGGTTTGGGGTTTAGGGTTTAGGGTTTAGGGTTTAGGGTTTAGGGTTTAGGGTTTAGGGTTTAGAGGACTTCTTGCCGTATCAAGCTCCATTACACCCTCATAGACTGGATAAGTCTCTAGACATCCGAATCCCGAAGCCCCGTAACTCCAAGACCCCGAATGCATCCTAAACGCCAGAACCCTGCACCTAAAATCCTTCTCTACTACAACATTCAAAAGCCCAGAAACCACGAAACACTCAAAGAAAACGGAACCCACACCTGGAGCGCCTTAAACCCTTAAGACCCTACAAATGCACCCAGGCCCCCAAAACCCGAAACTCTAAGCCCGAACAGGCTCTGAGTTCAGGGCTTAGGGTTTAGGGTTTAGGGCTTAGGGGGTTTAGGGGTACCAAAGTGCCCTGACAGGTGTAGACCGACGGCCCTGTCATGTCCAGGAAAGCATCTTGTTCCGTAGGTAAAAGTAGCGTTACGCTTTCAGCCTCAGGGACATCTTGAGCCGTAGCCATTTTGGCTCCAGGTCGAAAACTTATGTATCAATTCTTGCGAGCATGATTTGCTAAGATCTGCTCTCTAAGTGCGGGGGGTGCAGAGCTTCTGTGGGTACAAGCTTTTGGCTTTACATTGCTAGTGTTCCTTCTTCTGACTTCCATAAACCCCTTAGTTGCTGAGTTCATGAACCCAAAACATACAAACTTTCCACTTTAACATGCATGACAGTAATCCCAAACATGATGAGTCCAGGTAGGCCTCAACCCTAAACCCCAAACCCCTAAAACCCGTAAACCCTAAAGCCTCCCCTCACAGCCTGAGCTACCAGCGTCGGCTGAAACCCTAAGTCTTGAAGGAGCCTGTTCGGGCTCCTTGAACGGATCCCTTAAGGGTTTGGTTAGGGTTTAGGGTTTAGGGTTTAGGGTTTAGGGTTTAGGGTTTAGGGTTTAGGGTTTAGGGTTTAGGGTTTTAGGGTTCAGGGTAGTCTCAGCTCGCAGCAGCCTCGGGCGCCGGTCCCCAACCAGTGAGAGGCTCGCTGTTGAGCCCTGGGAGCTTTTCTTGACGCTCTTAGAGGTCGCTAGAGGGGTGCAAGGCCCAAGGGCTTAAGGTTGTAGGGTTTAGGGGTTTAGGGGTTTAGGGTTTTGGTCGTAGGGTTTAGGGCTTTAGGATTTTAGGGTTCAGGGTTTAGGGGTTTGGGGTTTAGGGTTTAGATTTTTGGGGGGTTTAAGGTTTTGGGTTCAGGTTGAGCGCTAATAGCATGGGGTCGACATGTAGCAGCAACATAAGCTGTGAACGGATTATCATGTGGTCACATGGGCATGTTTTAGCTCTAATGTAGGGTTTAGGGTTTAGGGTTTAGGCCTACTCTACCCCTTACTACCACCGTTGCATCAACATCTTGGCATGTCCGCGAAACCCTAAACCCTGAACCATAACCATAAACCCAAAGCCCTAAGCCCTTAGCCCTGAACCCTAAGCCCTAAACCCTGAACTCCAAACCCAAAGCCCAAAGCCCTAAACCCTACATCTTGATTCCTAAGCCCTAAACCCTAAAGACCCTAAACCCTAAGCCCTAAACCCTAAACTCTAAACCCTAAGCCCAAAACCCTATAAAGCCTGAACCCTAAGCCCTAAACCAAAAACCCTGAAGCCATCCGATCGAATCTTAGAAGCTCCACACACCATCACCCTCATGGGGCTCCTTTTGTTTAGGGTTGAGGGGTTTAGGATTTAGGGTGTCGGAGTTTAGGATTTAGGGTTTTAGGGGTTTAGGGTTTAGGATTTAGGGTTTAGAGTTTAGGGTTTAGGGGTTTAGGGTTGAGGGAGCTACTGTAAAGGCTTCCTTTTTTTGGAGATCCTTTGAAAGGCCTCCTTTAAAGCTACCCTTCTACCCTCACCCACATATCACTGCGCAGGCTTCCCAGCTCACCCGAGGTCTGAATTGCTTCCTTTAAATTGAGCTACAGAGGTTGGGTTTAGGGTTTAGGGTTTAGTGTTTAGGGTTTAGGGTTTAGGATTTTGGTGTGTGGCGACCAGAAAAAGCTTAGGGCCTAGGGTTTGAGGGGCGCTCCTTGAATTGAGGCTGTCGGGTTCCTTCAAGGGCTTGCTGTCTAGGCTTTTAGGGATTACTGTAGGGCTGCTTGAAGGTTTTGGGGTTTTGGGTCTACGCTTTATAGCATGGGGGAAACAACCATCGAAAGCTTCCAGAGCACTGCGGCAACAACCTCGAAACCTGACCCAGGGGCCTCTCGGTAGCCTGGGCTTCTCGGGTACCACAACTATGTTGGGGAACCACTTGGAACCCAATCAACCTGTCAGGTCCTATGCGAGAGTGAAAATCCGCAACTCTCGAACCCCGAACAAAAGGATCCGCGCTACAATGCAAAGCAGAGCAGACTTTCTAAGACCATTTGGTCGGATGTCGTTGGAAGCTTGCCATGCGCTTTGGACTCTTCGTGGTAAAATTTTCGCTTGACCATGGGGAAGTTGAACTTGTCGTCGGCCATCCATTGCGGTTGGGTTGAGTCCTTTGTCCAACTGTGCCGTAGGACAATCAGGAGCACATGGAGCCTAAAACCCTCAACCCTAAACCCTAAACAATGACTCCAAAGGTGCGGTGAAGACCCGGATGCATCGAAACCCTCAACTCCTTCAGGACCCCCTGAACCTCCTTCGACAAGTTGAAAAACCTGGACGCCTCAGGGGTATACGGGGTGTAATATGAGCCCCTACAGTAAGGGCCTCGGGCTTAAGGTCTGCAGGCCTAGGGGCAGGCTTTAGGGGGGTGTAACCCTAAACCCTAAACCCTAAACCCTAAACCCGAAACCCTAAACCCTAAACCCGAAACCCTAAACCCTAAACCCTAAACCCTAAACCACCCTAAACCCTAAACCAAAAACCCTAGGGCCCCAGAAGTTCTACATCCGAAGCCTCTGAGCCTCACGGTAGTACTCCCGCAGCTTACTCCCTTCGTGGGGATCTCGATATATGAAGAAGAACAACTATAAAAGCAATACTAATAATAATAAGAATAATACCAATAACACTATCTCTATCTATCTATCTATATATATATATGCTTGTTTGTATACATACTATACATGGACTGGAACCGTAAGAAAACTCGTCGTGCGGACTACGGCTCGAGACTCGGATCCCTCTGGAACCCCAGGCCCCGACCCTTTCAAAGCCCGACGACACCTTGTAAAGCCCTACCGGTTTAGGGTTTAGGGTTTAGGGTTTAGGGTTTAGGTTGATGATAGAAATCCTGCATTACCGTTAATAAGGAAAATAGCAGAATTACCATACTTTATGGTCCTTGAGGTAACGCAGGATTTGTATCATCAACCGTATGACATCTTCGGAAACCCTGTTGTAGGGGCCTTTATAACTAGAGTAGGGCTTTGGGGTATGTTATACTAGAACTCTAATAAGGAACCACCAAAATACAACAGTGGAATTATTTACTAAGACCCCTACATTACTTACCAAGCCATATAAGGAACGTCCGAAGCCTTATAAGGCCGCATATTACACCTTCTGCGGCTTTAGAAAGATAGTGGCAGTTAAGGGTTTAGGGTTTCAGGCTTAACTATTCATGCTGTCAAGAACTCATCCAAAAAATGAAAAAGCACCCAAAAACCATAAAAGATAAATACATAAATAAATAAATATATAAATAAATAAGATAAATAAACAAATAAAAAGGGCCTGGTAGACCCGGCCCGGTCTCGGTGCGAAGGGTGGGCAGTTGGAACTCGACTCTATGCACGACCTCGGGGGCGATAGGGTTTTGGAGGTCCAGGGGTTTTAGGGTTTAGGGTTGAGGGTTTAGGGGTCCAGGGGTTTTAGGGTTTAGGGTTTAGGGGTCCAGGGGTTTTAGGGTTTAGGGTTTAGGGTTTCAGGTTTTGGGTTTAGGGTTTTGGGAGGTCCAGGGGTTTTGGGGGTTTTAGGGTTTGGGGTTTAAGGTTTTGGGTTTAAGGTTTTGGGTTTTGGGGTCCAGGGGTTTAGGGTTTAGGTCTCGAGGCTTCGGGGTTCACTCTTCGGGCTTAGACTTCTTTGGTGTAGTGTTCCGGGTTTAGGATTTAGGGTTTAGGGTTTAGGGTTTAGGGTTTAGGATTTAGGGTTTAGGGTTTAGGGGTGAGGGTTTAGGGTTCAGGGTTTCGGATTTAGGGTTTCGCCGGGGTTTGAAGATGAAATGCTGCGAGGGTTCCATAGTGTTCAATAGTTGATCAGACGGATGGAACAACGGGTTGATATGGGTTTGAACAGTTTCTTTCAAGCGTCCAGGGCTTCCGGCTTCGGGGGAGCTGGGATTTGGGGAAGACCGGTTTCAGAATGGCTTTGTAAGCATGCTCCAGGGTAAGGGTTTATGACTTGGACTGTAGGACGCACTTGATTCCTTGAGGTTCCGATGCAGTTTCTGCTGACTGGGTGTTCCAGGGTGCCCTAAACTAAACCCTAAACCAACGGGTTTATAATCAACGCCAAAGACAAAAAACTGACAAACCACAGACAAATCAAATACCAAACAAAAGGAATGAAACTGTCCTTGAACCCTAAGCCTGAAGCCCGAAAACCTTAATTCCTAAACCTTACGGCCCTAAAACCCTAAACCCTAAACCCTAAAACCTAAAACCCTAAAACCCTAAACCCCTAAACCCTAAAACCCTAAACCCTACAACCTAAACTCTTAAACCCTAAAACCCTAAACCCTAAAACCGTAAACCCGAAACCCTAAACCCTAAACCTAAAACCCTAAACCCTAAACCCAAAACCCTAAACCCTTGAACCCTTAAACCCTTCGCCGAGTCGCATAGCGCGTTCGAAGGCCCGGGTAGGAGCCCGAGGGCGCCTGGCTCAGGCAGGTTTTGGTGTTGAGGGTTTAGGGTTTAGTGTTTAGGGTTTAGGGTTTAGGGTTTAGGGTTTAGGGTTTAGGGGGCGAGGGTTGAGGTTTGAGGGTGAAGGGGGTTGAGGGTTTAGGGTTTAGGGTTTGGGGTTTTGGGGTTGAGAGTTAAGGGTTTCTTGAATGCCTTTTTTGAGGGTCTAGGGTTTAAGGTTTGGTTTAGGGTTTGTGCATGTGTGTGGGGGGGGGGCATGGTAACCTTTACCGGTGCCTGGGAGTTCAACAGGGTGTTTAGCTGCCACCAGTGCGGCGACGTCGAAACAGTCCGTCAGAAAACGCTGCGCGGTGCCCACGCTTGCTGCGCCCCCTTCATGATCACCAACACATGGGCAGTTCTCTAAACCCTAATGTAGAGAACTACTCATACTGTTCACAGCCATGCGATCTTTCCGTGGCTCAATGCTAACATGCCGCAACCTCCCGCTTTGGCTACCGTTACCTCTTTCTTGCAGTGCCTCTTATTGTAGAGTGTATGGAGACCTTGCACAAAGTAGGCTTTGGTAGTTTATGGTATACGCCAATAGCGACTACAGGGCTTAGGATCAGAACCGACGGCACGCTTCTGACGGTGCTCTCAAACGCTTCGATACCGACACCAAGCAGCAACCCCAAGCTAAACCGCAAACCCCTAAACCCTGAACCTGAAATCCCGAAATCCGAGGCTAAACCGGAACTCATCCACGGAAGCCCACCTGAGAGACCACAAGCCCCGAAACCTTAGAGCCCTGGACAAAGTGTACTCATCCCAGAAATCTAAACCCGGCGGCACCGGGGACTTATCGTCATCAGTAGGGCTTCACTCCCCAATGCGTGGGAACGGACCGCCCCTAAACCCCAAACCCTAAGACCTTAAACCCAGAGCCTTTATATAACCTTATCAACCCTAAACCCTAAACCCTAAACCCTAAACCCTGAAGGCCTAAACTCAAAGAAAGCCCCCCGGCACCTCGAAAGTATCGGCCTCCTCCACCACGGTTCCCACCTTTTTGGCTTTCGGGTTTTGGGGTATAGGATTTAGGGCTTAGGGTTTAAGGTTTGGGGTATAGGACTTTTGGAGTCTAACGTTCAGTGTTTCAAGTTCTGGGCCTCGGGGTCAGGAGTTTAAGGTGCACCCTCGACCCTAAACTGTAAACCCCTAAGCCCTAAACCCTAAACCCCTAAACCCCTAAACCCCTAAACCCTAAACCACTAAACCCTAAACCCCTGAACCCTAAACCTAAAACCCTAAACCCTAAACCCCTAAATCCTAAACCCCTAAACCGTCAAAATTCTCGGGTTTGAGGGGCCTGTTTCGTCAGTAACCCTAAACCCTAAACCCTAAACTGGTCTCCGGGTCGCTTCTGCAGCTCCCGAGGTTTCTTCTTCAGCTCGTGGTGCCACCATCGGCCTCGCCCAAATAGCCCTGGGCAAACCAGAAGGCTCGGGCTTGCCCGTCCTTGGGCACCTTGGCTCCCACATCTGCCACATCGGACCGTTCAGACACCCTGATCACATCCTGATGGACCCCTTGTGACATATACAACCTGCTGCAACATGAGCTGCTACCTGCTTTGCGTGTGCATGCTGCTCGTCAGGTATCTGATAGCAACAGCCCAAGAGCAGAACGTGACCAGTGAAATTTCGCTTTGTTCGTCAGGCTAGTGTTGGTGTGAAAGTGCCAAGAAATGCACTGCTTCCATGTCCCTGTCTCAAATTGTGTGATTTCTGTTGTTCCTGTGCTGTGTCCCCGGGCGGCTCGCCACAGCAGAGGTAATTATACACGTGTCAACTTGTGCGATGCCTGTTGTTCCTGTGCTCTGTGTCCCTGCGCAGCTAAGCCAAGCCACAGCAGATGTAACTACGCTTCTCAACTTGTGCGATGCCTCCTGTTCCCGAGCTCTGTGTCCCTGCTCGGCTAAGCCAAAGCAGATGTACGCTTCTCAACTTGTGTGATGCCTTGTTGTTGTTCCAGCTATATATCTATATATAAACATATATACATATGTATGTATATATATATAGAGAGAGAGAGAAAGGCTGTATTGTTTCTGCGTTGTTGTCTGGGAGTGGCCGAACACAACCCTTTAGGGGCCCCAAGTAAGGAGCACATGCTGCAGCGGCACGATGGTGAACACCGTGTGCCCGAAGCCGGGCAGTGTCGCCTCTGCGGCACGGACCAACTCTCTCGCGAGGCCGTGGCCCCGGTGGTGGCCGATGCCAAGGTAGAGGATCTGGCCCGCGGCCTCATCCACGATCGCACCACCGCATCCCCCCGCCGCGTCCAGGGCTGCGCCAGGGCTGCACCGAAAGTGGCGCAGCCTGCCATCCAGGACAGCACCATCCGAGACGGTATTCAAGTCGGCCATCTCATCATCCACCAAAAGACCCTGGCGCGCGAGCAATTTCCACAGTGATGGAGTCGGATGAGCACGGTCTCCTGCGTATCGACGACATGCTCGCGAAAGTTAGCCACCGCTTCCTCAGGTCTCGGGCAGCAGTCTCGAGTCTAGATAACTCCATGAGGCTGAGTCTGAGGCTGCTGAGGACGAGGACGCAGTGGTCTCTGACCCGTTTCTTTGGAGGGCTTCGACCTCACTCACAGCTTTGAACACAAAGCAGCGAAGGGCTTCGCAGAAGGCTCAGCTCGTTGAGATGCAAACAACGTCCTCTCCTTTCAATGCAGGGATACCTCAAGACAGCAAAACGGTCTCAGAAAGGCTCTTAAGGATTCGGCAAAGTCTGTGCAGTGTGTTCTGGCTCTTTCAGCGGCCCTGCAAGCAGGCCTGCGGAGAGTGTTTTTTTGCCGATGGTAGCATTCAGAACCTCAGCCACAAGAGGTGCGCAAGCGCAGGCCCCGCGCTTCGATTCACGCCAGGTAGTCTCTAATTCACCCCTCCCGTGCGAAGCAGCCTCTCTGCGGCACATGGTGGACAAGCCAAGTACTGTAGTTTGGGCCCTCCAACCCTGATGCAGAACTGCTGCAGCGTAGTCCAACTTCAGACTCTAGAGAGTTTGAAGCATCCCAGTATTCCGAAGATGACCCCTGCCACGCACCCATGCCGAGACTCCAGACACGACCTTCAGCCCTGCTTCGGCGAAGCTCTTCGCCGAACGCATGCGACCTGTTGGGCTCAGATGGGCCCCCGGTTCTTCTGCTGCCCGGAACTGGAGAGGTTCTCAATCCTTTCATTGCCCTCACAGGTGGAGGAAAAGGGCTTTCGGCATTTCGGTTTAACCTTCTGCTCAGGAGAGGCCAGCGCATAGCAAACTCAAGAAGAGCAGAGCCACTGACCGTGTCCAGATGTGTTTGGGACGTCGGTACCCACGAGCTGTTTTCTCAAGAGCGAATGAAAGCACAAGTTTCCAGGCAACTTGATGATGGCATGGGGACCTGAAATCTTGAGCATTGCCGAGCACTTCTTTGGCCCTCTTGTTCCCAACTTGTTCCTCTCAGGGTTCGCACGGCCTTCCTTCTGTGTGTCGAAAGCTCCGGGGTCAAAGAGAAAGACTAGAGTCTAGAGATCCCACATAACGTACGCGTGACGAGCACCATCGGGCAGTCGATGCTGACTCATGGTTGATCATGGACTAAGTTCGGAAACCAACAGCCGGGCTTTGGCACCTCTGCTTTTCCGTCAGCAGCTCACGGTGCTGGAGCTCGACGACGTTTTGCAGCGTTCTTGGCAAAAAATGCTGTGGGCCAGGACAAATAATTCCGCTTGAAGTGTACAGAAGAGCACATGAGCCCCGGGCTGCAACTTGCGGGTTTCCTTGCATTTAGCGTGCCACGCAGCTTCCAGCTCCTCCGCCCAAGCAGGCAAAGAAAGGCAGTAGGACGAGGCGCGGAACAAAGCCTTCTTGATGGACGCGTTCATGCCATGTGCTTTCTATGTTGGGTCTGTCAGTTTTGGGATTCGGGGTGTAGGATCTCAATCTTGATAGTCCATGGACTGGGGTTGAGCTTGCCGAGGGTCTAGTTCTAAGGATTCAGTTTAGCTTTCCTAAGTACCATGCTAGTGCTAGAGTATGAATGGTGAAGGGCGTTGGGCAACAGCTGCACAGCACACACAGTCAGTGTATGTCTGTGTGAAGGCGGCTGGGACGCTCATGAGATTCACACCTTCCACAGTCACCAACCTCCGGCATATGTCCCATCACTCCGTCCAGTTTCTAGGATTCTAGGAAGCTGGATTAGTCAGCCGTGTTTATTTGCCGATGTTCTTGTCTTTATATTCCTTGCCGCTGCTCGATCAAGCCAATCACGTTGTAACGGCTGTGGGTCTCTCGACCAGCCTCAACTTCCATGTTGCCCCCATCTAGACACGATCGACATTCCTCTCGCCGCACTACGCACTACTATCCAGAGCTTGGAGGCTTCCTCATCACTCTCAGGGTTCAGCAACCGGGCGCGCAGCCGCTAGGGAAGCACATGCTGCCCAGGAGCGCCGGAAATCCTTAGCTTGGGAGACTCTCACTTGGCTGTGAAATTCGCGTTGAAGCCCAGTCGCTGGAAGATGCGGCTCATGATGACGAAGGGGGCGGATCAGATGATCAGATCAAGCTGACAGAAAACGCTGCCGACCATGCATGATGTTGTGCGTTGATCGCTCTTTCCAGCATTCAACTTTTTCGCGGCCAATGGGTGCATGCAAGCTGACACAAAGACAAACAGGCCGACAGGCCGGCGGGCAGGCAGAGAGCGAACTCCGCTTTCGTCGGCTCCACAGAACTTTAGGGTTTAGGGTTTAGGGTTTAGGGTTTAGGGTTTAGGGTTTAGGGTTTAGGTTTCTAGGGTTTAAGAGGGTTTAGGCTTAAGGGTTTTGTACTGTGGGGCTTAAGGGTTTAGGGCTAAAGCGTGTGGAGTTTGGGGTCTTTACACTTTTAGGGCTGAGGGCCTCGGGTTCAGCGGGGTTGTCCTAAACCCTAAACCCTAAACCCTAAACCCTAAACCCTAAACCCTAAACCGTGGCTCTCGAGCTTTGGACCAGAATCCTCAAGCCAAAACCGGAAAGCCAAATCCGAAAAGTTTAGGGTTTAGGGCTTATA